GGGGAGGGACTCCGGGCACCGCGAAAACACGAGGAAGGACGAAGGCGCTGGGAGCGTTTGTTACAAGGGTAGCTGGAAACGACACACAGCCCTTCTAGGCCTCTTCCTAGGAAAGGGTGAAAGGAGCCAGGGGACGACAGCAGTAGTGATGTCAAGAAAACAAATGGGAGGGCAGAAGAGGGGTGATGAATGAGGCAGCCTCTTCCTTGGGGCCCCAGACCCAGCATGGCACGATTCAGGAATTGCAGGGTCTCTGGGTGCCATCAAAACACCTCCCTTTCCCTTCTCCACTGCTCTCAACGATAGTCCTTTTGCAGAACCCTCTTCCCAAACACGCTCCCAAGTTTGCTTGACTATTTGGAAATAGCAGGGATAGTAAGATGTGGTTTCTATCCTAAGTTGCCAGATGCAGAGATTCCTCAGCCCCTGCCATTTCTTTCTGTTCCTGTAAAGAAACGGCCCTGACTACTACTTTACTGTGAGGAACGCCACATCCGCCTCCCTTCAGCTGGTGGCAACGGAGATGAGTAAAGAAACCGAGGGGTTTGCAGGCCTGCCTGAATGGACAGCCCCTGTTTTATTTGTTTGCTCCAGTAACTAAAAAAGGCGCCACCCCAGTACCCTTTCTCTACCCTCAAACACACACGCGCACACTCTCTCTAAGGGCAGGAAAAAGTGAAATAATTTCTGTTCCATTCTCTCCCTTTGTACCAATGACACAAACTCAGTGACCAAGATATAACACTCTGTGGCTATCCCCCCTCCTAAGAGGTGATTTGGGGTGACTGGACCTGCTGACTGTGTCCAGGTGGAATATTTTGGACAGAACTTTGAACTAGGATTCTGACCTGGATTCTCACTCCTAGTAAGTGATGTTCATGTTCTCTATCTGAACCGGTTTCCTCATCTGGAAATATTAGAAAGTTAAATTAGATGTTAGATTCCTTTCAGCTCTAGGAAGATATGATTCTGCTGTGATAACGGTAGGAACTCAGAATGCTGGGATGTGTTGCATGGAGAAGACTAGCGGGCTGTGTCCCAAGAGGCTTCCACAGGCAGCATTTTCAGTGTTGAATTTACCACCAGCCAGGTATGGTTCCAGCTTTGTCGTTTCTAAAGCTGAATCTTGGAAATACTTGTTTGTGCCAACAAAGTTCTCAGTTTACCCAAATATAAAGCCACATGTGTTAAGTATCCATTCACTGAGAGAAAATTTACTGTCACTCAGCCTGAAAATTCATGTCTCTGTGTCCAACATATTCTCCTCCTGAAACCAAATCAGAGTCATAATATGAACATATAAATGTATGATAATGTAAGTGAACAGGAGCACTTGTATCTTTAATGGCATCTGGCCATCTCCATTAAGGAGTCATGCCAATGAGACCAGAAAGCTCTCTTCTTGGCTACCGTCCTCTGCCCCCATCTCTGTGCTTTGAGCAGCTTTGCCAATGCTCCTGAACTACTCCAAACTGGTTGACTAAAGCACTCTTTCCAGGATGCTACTTGGAACCACTCTGCCCACGTGGGCCTCAGGGACTCTCCTTTTACTAGGCTTTCATGCTGCCCTCTCTTCAGGTTAACATATTCTTTATTTAAATATGTTAATACTTTCAATTAGGTTCTAGCCAAGTCCTGCTGGCAGGGAGCCATTTCTACTCTTTAAGGTGATTCTGCATGCTCTACACTGATCCATTACTTGCTAAAATAGAAATCTGGAATTGTTTAGGGGGAAAACCCATATATCCTTCCCACCCAACAGAGCTGTTTTGTGGGGTTTTCTCCTGTTAAGTTCTGAAGGAAGATTTCATTGTTTTCCCCCATGCAGCTCACCAGTCACATTTACATAATCTCCTCTTCTGGGTTCCTTAATGTTGAAGTTACTAGAAGAATCTTATGTCTGGGCACTTCAGTTTATCACGGCTTTGTTCACAATAGCAAGGCATTGGAAACAACCTAAGTTCTCATCAGCAAACGAATGGATAGAGAAGCTGTGGTATATTCACACAATGGAATATTATGCTGCATTGAAAAACAAGGAACTTATGAAATATTACTCAAAATGGGTGACCTTGGAGGACATTATGCTGAGTGAAATATCTCAGTCACACAGGGACAAATACAACATAGTGCCACTGTTGTAAAACAGGACTGACATTGGGGTTGGGGTAAACTGAGAAAGATGGGATAAATAATGTATACTGTATTGAAACAGATGAGGCAGAAAACTGTTTAAAAAGGATATGTGATTAGGTATTATTGTCATGGCAGGAGTCCAGAACAAAGGCTGCATAAAACAATGAAAGAATTTTTCATTTACTTTTCAAAGAGAAGAGTATACTGGGGCGGTGGAGGGGTGGGCAGGGAGAAAAGTGCAACAATGAATGAACGGAAATCCAAAGTCTCTGTAAATTTTCATTAAAATTAATAATAATAAAAAGTTTTTTAAAAAAGAATCTTATAAAACTGGATAATATATGTTTACGGCATTGAAGTCTATGGGGGAGAGAATTGTCTAAAAGTATTATATTTTAGGGCATTATTTTTATCGTAGGAGTATGCAATGAGGGTTGTAGAGTGGATTATATTTGGGGGTAGGTGGTGGGGTTTGGGGAGGTGCGGGGGGGATTGTGTACCAATGAGGGAGTTTTTCTTTTGCTTTTCAAGGAGAGGAGGAAATGGGGGGGTTGTGCGGGGAGAAGGGTGCAACAATGAATGAATGGAATTCCAAAATCTCTGTAGATGTTCACTGAAATGAAAAAGAAACAAACTAAATTAATTAAAAAAAAAGAATCTTATGTCTCTCCTCTCTTCTACCCAAACTCATCCTTGATCATCTCAAGCAATCCTATGATGTTAATGTTGGCTATATGTTGATGATCTCACGTTTATATCTCCAGTCCAGCTCTTTCCATCAACTGGAGCCCTCTGTTTGCCTGTGTATCATCACTACATGGATACCTAAATGCAGTTCAAATGAAAAAAAGATCCAAAACCAAACTTCCGATTTGGGCCTTTGTCATCTCTTCAAGATATTCATACAAACTGTAGTTATTTTGGTTTCTTTTCTCTCATCCCTACAGGGAGCTCTGGTGGCCTACTGGTAAGGAGCTGCACCTCAGTGCCAAAGCCCAAGCTGTTCAAATCCACTAGCAGCTCAGGGAGAGGAGGCTAGGCAGTCTCCTCCATTGTGATTTACTGCCTGGAAAACTGGAGAGTCAGTTGTGAGTTGGTTCTGACTCGAAGGCACACAACAACAACATCTCTGTATCATTAAGTCTTAGGCTACCTTCAAATAATAGTTTTAATCTATCATTTCACCAGCTCTACCACTGCCATCCTAGTCTAAGGATTGTCTCTCTCCTAACAACTCCCACAGCCTCTTGACTGACATCCCTACTTCCTGGCTTGCCCCCTGCAGCCTATTATCTCAGCAGTCAGGGTGATTTTCTAAAACTAAACCAGATCTGACCTGACAAGTTCATGCCTACGTATGTACTGAAGGAAAATGAATACAAATACCCCACAAAAAGGGCAAATACAAGCATTTTTATAGTGTTTTATTCATAGTAGTCAAATACTTTAAATGTCTATCCATCAAGAATGGGTTAAGTTTACATAAACAAATCATGAAATACATTCATAGAATATTACAAAGGTTTGTTTGTTGTTGTTTTTTTAAAGAGTTTTAAAGTTTTAATGAGATGCTTCTAAACAGAGAAGGTTTTAATTTTACAAATTGGATTTCTTTTCCATTTTAAATGACAGATACCAAGATAATGGAAAGGTAAGTTTTCTAATAATGATGCTCTTATTTGCCTTCTTACTTTTACTAGGAACAGAAGAAATGCTTCTCCTATTAGTGATAAACAGATAAAACCACCAGACTTGTTTCTCTAAGTTCCAACTCAATACAGTTCCAACTTAGATACTCGAAGTACTGAAAGAGGTTCCACTGGATTTCTAAGATCATGACCCTTTATTGAAGCAGACTGCCACATCCCTCTACTTGCAGACGGAGCTAGTGGGTAAGGAGTTGTACTCTCAACCCAAAGGCAGTTAGTATGAATCCGCCAGTGGCTCTGAGAAAGATGGGTAATTGTGACTTACAACCTCTGAATACCCACCGGAGGGTCAGCTATGCAATGAGTTTCAAATTGGTTCTATACTCCCCACTTGCAGAAGGGTTGGTGGGTTTGAACCACCAATTCTGGAGTTAGCTGATGAATGCTTAAGCACTGTGCTACCAGGGCTCTTAATGTTGGCTACGTATATATCAAAGTAACAAAAGATATAAAATGAACTTGGGCAAAATTCTGAGCAAGGACTAAAGTTAGATTTTCAGTTAGAATATTTTAAACTTTGATTGAATATAATCTTCTTCTTTTTAAAAAATTTTATTTATTTTCCACTGTCTTTAATTGTTTTTGGTGAAACATTCTTCTTTGTCGTATAGCCTTGGCCTGCCCACTTGCTGTTAAGAGAGGAAACTCGTGGTTGCTGTGAAGCTGAACACTGTGACACTGATGTGTCAAATGTGAGAATGGTTATCCACGGTGGACAGTGTTTGGTGGAGCTCCCAAATTAAAACAAGCTTAGCAGCAGGAGTGGCATTCACTTCCGAAATAGCTTGCCTCTGGAAAACCTGATTGATGGAATTGGCAGCACAGGATGCCAGGCCGGTCCAAAAAAAGTGAGCAAGAAGCATGATCGAAGGGTCCTGGGGCCAGTGCAAATCCAGCGGACGTGGTACTTACAACTAGAGCTGTGAGTTTGATCTTGGAGAGTCGAGCCAAAATTCCTGGCAAGTCATCCAGCTGCAGCTTCATCTCTTTCCATTGTCTTTCATCTTTTGTCTCTTTTTCC